TTAAAGGTAGTGTTATATCATATAAACTTTTATCAGATAAACATCAGTTGCTCTTGTAGCTTTAGTTCATGTCTTGTTAAACATAAAAGTATATATACATTGTTATTAAATTTATTAAACATGAAAATACATTTTTCAAAACATGAATCAGTGAATAATAATTTGGATTTAGGGTGCAACCAATATTAATGATGAACACACAATAGTCGAACTTTAACACTAACAATTAACATTTATCAAGAGGCCCGGCATTTCAGAGATACACGGAACAAGTAAAACCTCTTCAATTTTCATTTGAGCACACCCACAACCACAAGTTCATCATCTAATTAAGGAATAAGAAATATGGATGTATCCATTTTTCAGACATTCCTAAACCTAGAAAAATCTGTTGGATGTGTAATGTGTTGAATTTTTGTCCAAAATATTAATAAAAGATAATATATTTATAAAATAACAAAAATAAGGTATTTTTTTTTTTTAAATATCAAGAAAGGGCAAGACATTGTTCATGGTCTTCCTCTGCCTCTTATTCATCCGACTACACTGTTCATACGAGAGGCGGAGCAGGGCATCGGCGGCGCTTTCCTTCACGGTTGCCGTTCCGGTCTTTAAGCTGAGGAGAGGTTCAGAATCACGGTGACACCGTTCTCTTGAAGCTGAGCATTGCATCGGATTTGATGTTTTCTCTCTCTTTTCGTTTCTCCCTGGATTCGATGTTGTTGCAGAGGGGAAGACTGAAGAGGAAAAATGGAGCTTCAACTTCTCGAGCGGGTCTCCATCTCTCATGGCGTCGCTGACACCAAGCGTGTTGTTGAAGCTCTTACAGCACGCGAATAACAAAGAGGTGAAGGTCGTTGGCGAGCACCGCTCGGCACTCTTATAGGTAATCGAGATCGTGCCTTCCCTTGTTGGAGGAGACGATATGTGGCAAAGTAGAGGATTCTTCTTGAAGGTTTTGGATTCGTTGCATTCGGCTTACGTTTCAATCTTAGACGAGGACGTTGATTTGATCTTCAGCGATAAGATCCAACTCGGGCAGTTTGTTCACATCGTTCGGCTTGACTCCGGATCGCCCATTCCAGTGCTTCGTGGTGTTAAGCCTGTGCCGAAGAGCTCTTGAAGCCGAGCATTGTAATAGGAGATAAGAGAGAAAAGAGGCCTTACAGCCCCAAAACGAGCAATCTTGAGGCGGTTTTCCTATTTGTTCTTGGCGAGGAGTCTAAGCTCCATGGCCGCTAGTGCGAGAGAGCAAAGAACGAAGGGGGAACTGTTCATCGTCTTCTACCTCTGTATTCATCTAAATACACTGGATTTGAAGCTTCAGTGATAGTTTTCAAAACAATACAGTGTCATTGTTCTTCCTGAAAAGAAGTTACTTTATTATTATTATTATTTTATAAAAATATTATCTTTTATTGATATTTAGGGGAAAATGTTGACCTTATCTAGTAAAAACCCAAATATATACCATCAAGTTATCAAAAATCAAAGTCATGTCATTTCTCATCTCCTCTACAGTCTACACATCATCTCATTGTCAAATGTCAATGACTACCTTGGCATATATTTTTGGTACAATGAAAATGAAATTGAGACCCACCCATGTCCAACAAAGTAGCCAATAATCCTGCATTAAGCATTAGGTATATGATTTATGACAGAATAGGTATCATATTTTACCTTATTTTGTTAAAATCAACTTGCCCAAGTTCTTTTTTCCGAGTCCACATCTGCTCTCACCTCACACGGACCTCACAGTTAACGGTGGCAATCGGGCGAGTTAGGTTGGATTTGGTTTGGGTTGAGTTTTAACTCAATCCATCTAACCTGCCAACCCAGTAATGACCCAGTTATATAAAATTAAGTGGGTTGGGTTTAACCAAATCAGCTTTTATCCAATCCAACTTGCCCAAATTCATTAATCTTATATTTATAGACTTAAACAATAACTAACTCTCTCTTAACAAATAAATTGGTCATAGCTTGTTGGTAATTATAGTTACTATTTACACAAGTGGTGAAAGTTCAAATCACATTACATGCATTTTATTTTTACACAAACAGCGAACCCATTTGACTATGTTTGGATTTCGGGTTTGACCAAACCACTTAGGTTCAAATCGGTCAAACCAACTTGAACTATCTAATTGGATTATCTTCGAGCTAATCACATCAAGGGTAGTTGAACCATTTAGATCTGAATCAGTCTGGTCAAACCAGATCGGACTGATTCAGTCAATGGTGGATTGACTTGGACCAAACCATATCAGGTTTGTGCACGGGTTTGGGACCGAACCGGCTGACCCAAAGCGGGTCAACGTAAGTAAATCGGGTCGGTCCGAATTCGGATTCATATTGTGTGGATATTGGTCAACCGAACGGTCCAGATCGGGCAAAGCACGTGGACATCGAACCATCCGCTCGGACCGCGTTGAACTGGTCCGAACTCGGGTCAAATTGATTTGGATTTATGTTTTGTGAAGTGTGTTGATTCAAGATAAAACTAAATTTAGTCAATAATTAATAGAAAATTAATGTATTAATTATAAATTATTTAATTCAAATGAAGAAAAATAAAAAAAAAATGCTAAAGAATTAATACTTATATCTGTAATGGTCAACCCAATGGTTATCCCCAACCCAACTCAACCTATTTAAATGGACGGATTTGATGATGGATTGATCACACAACCTGCCAAGTAAATAGGCGGATTGGGCGGATTAGATATTGGATGGGTTGGATGGATTCAACGGATTGGGTGCAAAAATTGCCACCCCTACTCACAACCCCATCCCACCATGTATTGAGAACATCTCCCATCCTTTGTGTTATTAATGGGGAAAAATTCCTAATACACGGTGGAATGGGGCTGTGAGGTCCGTGTGATTGTCATCCTCTATTACCCTTCCCTATGGTTGCTTCACCAATTTGAACTTGTCATCCTCTATTGGTATAACATCAAAGTTAGATTGCCTGTTTTATAATATTCCTTCCCAACAAAAAGAGGCATTTAATATCTTGATTAAGAAAAGTAAGTTCCTTTTAGGTGCATGTATACCAATTAATTCACCCAATTAAATGACCTGGTGGTTGTGAGAAGATTGTCAAGTTGATACCATCATCTGCACACCTTTGAAATGGACTTTGATCTTCTTTTGTTATCCATAGAAAAGATGGTGCTACCACTTTTGATTCCCAACCTAAAGTACTTTTATTCCTCCTTTATATAGTATTATAAAGTGGGGTTGATATTGAACCGAGATCTAATAGAATAATTGGCGCTCGAATTCAATTCTAATCCAGTTCAAATCTTGATGTAAGATCAATTAGTTATTCGAATTTGAGCTTGACCAATAAAAAGTTTGGCTTGAAAGCTTGTGAGTTTGGCTTGACTAATATATATTATAGAATATAAAAATATAGTTTATAATATATATTATAAATTATATTAAATATTTTATATATAATATAAGAATATATATACTATGTATTCTAAAAATATATCATATATATTTATAAAATACAAAAATATATTCATTTTCATATTTTCAAGCCAAGTCAAACTCATCGAATATTTAATTGAATCAAACTTGAACCAAAAAATAAAATTCGAATTAAACTTGAATTTGAGTTCGAGTCTAATAGTATCTTAATTGAACCGAGCCAAGACATGCAGAAATTTGGCTCAACTCGGCTCGATTGCACCCCTATGACAAAAGAAATATAATAGAGTTGCCAATAACCTTCAAATAATAAATAGTGTATGTTAAAATATCCAAGTTAATTAGAAAATATATATGCTTTGAGATGGTTCCTACTTCACTCACATATGGTTTCAATTTTAGTGGTTTAGCAATATCGAAGTAAACATAAAGCACCATCAAGGCATCAACGTGCTAAAATCCAGTGGATACTATAGCTCAGTTTGGAAGGAGTACAAATACAAATATGTAGAGTACAAAACCTTGTATTTTATATTATTTTGTATGTATTTATATTTGTACTATTTCCAAACTGAGCCTACAACAAAAGATTTAACCTTCAAAGCAAGCATGTCTTCAACTTGAGGCAAACCAACGGAGGGCTGGGTTGTTTCAGCATTGACGTGGAATCAAATCCCACAACAAACACTTTGGGGAAAAGGGGTCAGGGGGAAGTTATTAATGGTGCATAGCATCAAATACCAAAAAAAAAATTACTTGAGGCCAAGGTTCAAAGTATCGATAATCAGTCTTTTTCTAGCTTTTACTTATTTTTTTTATTGATTTAGGTTCAGAGGGACCAGTTTAAGTCCCGACTACCCTCTGGACCCTGACCTGATACAACCCCTATAGGGGCATATTGGGAAGGGCCCGATACGTTACAATTTTTTTAACCTTGCTTGAAGCAACATTGTAGAAGCACTACGTTCCACCCTTTTTTCTTGGATTGACAAAAGAAATTATATATCCACCGTCAATCCATCATTTTATAGTTAATCCCTTGTGGTTTCTGGACGGAGGTCCTTAAATCTGGTCTCTTATAGATTGATCCAAGTGTAAATTTAGCTTAAATAACTTTTCACTACTAAAGCCCTTATTTGCATATATGATCTAATTTTTAAGTTGGGTATTGAATTTGAAATTTGAGACCAAATCCTTGGGGTTGCAAAATACCTTTTTGACTTACTGTACTAGCATTCTAAGCAAGTGCTGCACTAACATCTCTTACATGTATAACAGTGCATTGCATAAGTTAGATCATCTAAATAACAAACTCTGTATTCATGGCGAGAGGTGGTACACGTAAGGCCAGTTCGCTTTTTGGAAAGTTACTCGGGTAAATGTATTTATTTGGGTATATGTTTCCTAAAAAATATCTATTCGGATAAATATATTTATCCATTTTTTTATTTTAGATAAGACAATGACCATAAAAGGCCATTCCATCCAAGTATTGATAATTTTTTGACTTTTCCCACCTGGTATCACTTACCCGGCTAAGTGGTGACCAGAAAAAATAAATAAGTTTTCCATTGACTACCCCAATTGTGTAGCATATTTGCCTACAAAAACAACGTTGAATACTTGAATTCTCCCAATGGCAAACCCACCTGTGCGTGTTACCACACCAACCAAACCACCTGGACCTGAGCAGAGGTGCCTTGAGTTCACTTTGTCTCATAAACCTGTACGAGTGTTCCGTCATACTAACCAATATGATAAATCCCATGTCAAAGAGTGGTCCATGCCCAATTAAGAAGGAAATTCAACTCTGAACCACAAATAGAATACCCATCAGTAAGAATGAACTTAGATGGACACTCTGTTTTTTTTTTTTCAATAATTAAGGACAAAACATAGATTAGAAATAAAAGACTAAAGAAACAAACCTATGCAAAGCCCAAAGCCCGACCCCAAGAGTTCATATTCCATAAGAATAATGAAACTAAGGTCCCACATGAGTCCTCAATGATGTTAATATATCTTAAATCCTTTGTTTGCGAGACAATCCTCAGCTTGGTTTCCTTCACGCCATGTATGCCTATACACCACCTCAAATCTCTCGGTTATAGCTTGCTAATCTTGAGTAAGCTGCTGCATCTCCATGGAGGGATCTTCCCGACAAGGCACTCTGCTTTCTGGTTTACGGTCTTACTTCTCAATCTGATGTGGACCATTCTTTGATGAGGGATCATCTCATTGGTCTGTATGAAGAAATACTTGTAATAGGTGAAAGAGCTAAAGTGAACTTGATTTTTATATATAATAGTATTTTAATAACATTAAATATTTATAAATCATTTGTCCAAATATTTTAAACTTTAAATTCAATCAAAGAATTACAATGAAAAAAATTCAAAATTTAAATTGTTTTTCATCTTTTTAGCTTTTACCCATTTATTTTTACTTGCATACATGCACCACACACCCTCACACACACTATTCAAGAAGCTAAAGGAGCTCTTTTTGGCTTTTTTTTTAGGCTGTGTTTGGTTGCATATATCAGGAAGGAAAATAAATGATCAACGATTTCTTTGGAATGATATTAAACAGGAAAATGACATTAGGTTTCATCTCGTCTCCTTTTTCTTTTTTTGGGTGTGTGTGTGTGTGTGTGTGGGTGGGGGGACTTTGCCTCTATTATTTGTTTCAAGCTAGATGGATGGAAGATTGTTCAGGCTAAAATATTTTATCTATATATTTCCCCCCTTGTTCAATGAAAATTTTATTTTCCTTTCATTTACATAAAAACCAATTACAACTTACAAGTGGTGTAAAACAAAGTTTGGCTACAAAGCAACAGAAGATAAAATTTTCCAAAATTTTAGGGAAAAGCAGATAAAAGACTTTTTGGGAAATATCAACATTTTCACATGCGACAAAACACCAAACAATAAAATTTTCTATGCAAATAGCTCATTTACCCTTCATTTACAAGCAACCAAATGGAACTTTAGCTCATTTCCTTTGTAAAATTCTATTGCCTAGAGGCCTTGACAATTATGCTGCTTTCTCATACTGATCTCAGATTCAAGCATTTCCTCCACTTCCAATCTTTTACTTTATTTTTCAACAATACTACTATTACTTTGTCCTAGCTCATTTGCCTGATTTCCACCCATATCACTGGAATTTGAGGGGATGCCGTGATAGTAACTGAGTCTTCAATCTATTCAGCATTGTCCCTGACTTTGAAAATTTTAATAATGTCCTCCAGGCTCCAGCACCCTCAAAAAGATCTTTAGAGATAATACACTGCCTTCTGATTTTGCCAAAAACAAAAAAAACACTCTGATTCTTATTAACCTTCCTTTCCTGTTTCCTTGTCTCTCTACCATAAACAATTGGTTGATTCCACCAATTCCACTCCTCCACTGCTCGTTTTGGTTCAATAAAAATCTGCATCCACAAAACCTTTAACCCACACTACCCTTTCTCTAGTTAGAAACACAGTCCCATTTCCAGTAATTTCCTCCATTATGAATGATTTAGCTTCTAATGAAAACTAAATTTTCTCTCCACCCTGATGTCAGAGAGAACTTCATGCCATCATCCACCTATGCAATTCCAGTTTCTTCTGGATGGCTTCCCCATCTTCTCTTGCAAAAAATCAGTAGTTTCTCCACAGAGTTTTATGTGGTTGGTTTCTTGTTATCCTCTGTACATCCTTGTAAATTGTAATTCATCATAAATTTTGACAACAAAAATAACTGCTGTATTCCAAATGCAAGTGCAACATGATACATTGAAGCCTCCTAACCTCCTTTATTTTGATTTGAAGCTTCGGCTCATTGCTGCTTGATGGATAGATAAATACAAGCTGGCAACTTCTTTTTTATCTTAATTCAAGCATTGAGCTTGTTTACTAGCTAAACCTGTGAACTCTTAAACATAAATATCTAGATTGAGTGCAGAGTTGTGATTAAGGCTTCTCAAGTTGAGTTGACTATCTAGATTCAGTGCAGGATTCGATTTATTCTATTTGTCATAACAGTATTTGAATTGTTTTTCTCAAATGTTTGTCTATCATGCATAATTGAGATGTAGATGGCATACATGTCATTCCATGTTTCTGTTAATTCAGGGCATGGTAAAGATTCTACTCAATTGCTTACATTCATAACCTTCTACTGCATAGAGATAACAAAATATTCATTTAAGCATTGGCATTTAGAGCTGATGGCATTGAATGGTAATTTATTACATTTAATTTAATAGGCATTGCTAGATATTTCTTTAAATAAAGGGTATCATAACAAAATCCTATGACAAAAGAAAATCTGTAAGTGAATACTTAAGGATTATTCAATCTTCTAACGGATCAAAACTATTATTTAAGATATGCTCCTGCCTCCTTGTGTGCTAGTTGTATCTAACCATTCATAATCTTCTGTTTCTCTTTTTCTTTCATAATCTGATCTATAGCCATTAGCTGCATCTGAAGTTTGAAAAGTGAACCTTTTTCATGTTTTATATATTCACAATTGGAATTTCATTCAAGGAATAACCATTGGGAAATTCGAGATTATAGTGGAGGCAACACTAATTGTTTCTCTGCATAATGTTGTTCTTTCATTATATTTCTAAATAGAAACTGATACCTAGAAAAATATATATGAAATAATTAGAGGTAAAGAGTCAAATAAAAAGTTCAGCTCTGTTAAAAAATTGAAATATAAAACTTCCACTTTATAAGAAAGAGAAAAAAAAAAAAACATATCTTGCCTTGAATTTGTTCATGGAACCCTGTTTTGCTATTAAACCTTATGGCTGCCATCCATTTAATGCCAAACAGCCAATATGATAGAAATGCCAAAGAGTAGCAGAAGAGCACCATCTCCCCCAGGTAGGATGTTAGCAACCTCAGAAGTCGATGATCTGTAATAATGAAAATGTACAACAATGTTATACTTTATCTTGTAATCAACAAAGCAAGATTCTACAAGTGAAAATCACCAATTTGCAAAGAAGTAGGGATCTACTGCCTTGGGGATCTTATTAGACCAAAAGTGAACATAATTGGATAATTTTAATCGTCCAATATATTCCATTTTTTAGGGGTCATACTAGACCAAAAGTGAGCATAATTGGATTGTTTTAACCATCCAACCTATTCCATGCTTTGGGGGTTCCATAAAATATCCATTTGTGTCTTGGAAAATGCCCTGTATGGTACCTATTTATCCAGAAATTATGAGACTTTAAATGAATAACTGCAAAGTTTTCAAGAAATTTATCTCTTATGAAGGTTAACATGCATAACAGGTAAAATGGCATTGTAATTGTCAAGGAACCATGGGTACTGGAGCCAAATACATGATTTTGATCAAGTTAATCGACTTCCTTTCCATACTTACAATCAGAAACACTTTATCAAATAAAAAAGGATGGCAAAATACTAAAGCCTCAAGGGGAAGAGAGGTTGCAAGAGAAATGAGGTCAAAGCATGGGAAAAGATATATAAGTGCAAAATATACAATACCATACCAGTAACGACAAACCCCATATCATCTTCCTCCAAACACCCTTCCTATCACGCATATCAACCGTAAAATTAGCAACCCTCATAGCCCACCTGAATGAGAGTTTTATCCTAACTGCTAAAGGCTTCTCCTCTCTGAACTTTTAGGTCAAGGAGAGAACCAGAAATCCCTCTAAAAATAGTCTGAAAATCTCCTTCAATGATGGATCAATAAAGCCAATAGAAAAGGAATATCAAAGGCCTTGGAGGAGCAAGAGACCTAATTTTAAGTAATTATTGCACAAGACCTCTTTCTGAATATGTCAAAAAAAGGAGAGTTGTATTTTCAGTAAACAGATCAACCCTGGAACCAAGCATCCAAGCATGGTTTAACTGCAGGGAAGGGCATTTTGAGGTTGTGTTGGGTTAACATAAGCTTAACAACCTTAGTTTACTGATATATTTCTTTTTTTTTCTTTCTCATTTTTAGATTTTTGCTTTCTTTTTTTTTTCTCTTTTTTTAACATAAAAAATTGGTCATGCCTACTAGCATTTACTGCAGAAGTTTGATTCTTCCGAATACCTGTTTTTCTTCCTGGATCGATAAATCCAAGTCATCACCGGAGGTAGGATACCAAACAGAAAGCAATTTGCATAAATGCCAGCAAAGTCAAGAGCTTTAGAGAAAGCTGTATTGAAGAAAGAAGCTAGGAAGACTGGAATGCCAAGTACAAACAGCATTACAAAGAATTTAGCTGAACTGAAGCCTTCACCCGTCGAGGATTGTCTAGATTTTGAACCAGAAATGCATCTTGATCCAATAAAGGAAACCTGCCCTGGAGTCCCAAGGTTGCACCCTCTTGAATAGACAGCAAAACCAACTTTTCCCATTCCACCATCATTAGAAGCCTCTGAAGCACACTTAAGTTGTCTAGATTCAGTTCTCCCCTTAATCAACTCCAATGTATCCAAAAGCTGTTTGGGGAAGCTAACTGTGTACCCTATCAAACTTGTTGCCAACGCAGAGAATGCAAAACCTTGAACTGCAGGAAGAGCTGAGGGATTTACAGAGAGCAAGAGTGAAATAGGATCTTGAGAGTAATCAGCTTTAGTACCTACAAGGCCCAAAACAACCAAATTCCATGATAGTACCATGATCAGGGGAACTGCTCCACCTAATAGTATTGCCTTGCGAGCATCCATCATTTTCTTAATAATCTTACATATAAATGGGGTTATTACATGGAACCCCAACGTAAGTACAGTAACAGGTATGGCAGGCAGGATTGCAGATGGAACCCATGAAGCATAAGCGAAAGAACTCAGAAGGCTGGATCTTCCTAGTGATAAACCAGTAAAAACAAGTACAGATATGGACAAAAGCATAATGAAGCACAAGAATCTGTTGGCTGCATCAATGGCCTTAAATGGGAAAAATCCAACTACACTTGCAACAATACAAGGAAAGAAGGCATGAGTAATCACAGGATTCATCCAAGGAAACCACTGAATAATGAGGGAGCCAATGCCGGAGACACAGGCAACCAAGAGAGAAAAGCTCAGGCAGGCATAGACTACAGCAACAAACGTGCCAAGATTATTTCCCAGTGTTTTAGTTGCAAGGCTAGTGAAGCTTACCTCTCCAACCACATCTTCTTCCATTATTCCAAAGCTTAGCTCCGCAACTAGGAGGATTGACGAAACAACATAAACCCATGACAGGAGTATGGTAATGGTTGATGGAAGTGGACCTGATCTTATGGTTGCAGAGGGCAGACCCAGCATTCCAGGTCCAACGGCAGTTCCTATAATCAGACTGACTGCACCCCAGAAAGTCCTATCTTGGATTTCTTCTTTTACTTGTTGAGGTTTGAATAATTTAGTAGAATCATTTTCTGAAATAATGGGGAATGGGCTACTATTTGGGGTTTTACACCTCGTGAGGATTAAGGGGTGGGTGGAAGAGGTTCGGGTGAAGATGGATAAGGGAGTTTTGGTGATAGGACTGGGGTCAGTCGGAGAGTGAGAGACGAATAGCCTGCGATGTGGGTAGAAGTGAGCTTTAGTGATTAAACGACAGGCGATTGGGTTCAGGTAGGATTGCTGGAAAAGAAGCATGTTGAAGAAGGGAAGTATCTTTATACCCAAGAAAAATTTAGGTCACTGGGGACTGCGCAGATGGCCAATGTGCCAACGGCAGAAGAGAAATCTTGGTATTTTGGACTATTTGATAGTAAAGTAAAATGAATGTGAAGATTCCAAGAATCCCATTAGAATAAATCTATTAGTAGCTCTCTATAAATGGGTGGAATTACAAAATTCTGACTTAGACTGATCAATCATTCTTCCTAAAATAAATTGGCATTGCACAGTTGACACTGACATGCCTGATGCGAGGCCGGTCATGAGGACTGAGGAGTTTAACAATCACTTTGGTGCCGATTAACCAAGGGTGTTCATGGTCACTGGTCAGTTCCGGTATGCTTTCGAGAAAACCTCGTATTAAATCTGAAAATTATAATATGAGAAATTCTTTTAGGCTGCGTTTGTTTTCACTGTATATGAGATTGGTGTAAAATTCTACCCGTTGGCATGGACTATTGGACTATTTGGCCCAAAACCATTCAGGCAATCGGTTCTATTTAACTCCAAACCTGGTCCTTGGCTAAAAATCATTGAATTGGTCAATGAACCATTGACCCAGGTGGTTGAACCGTCAACCAGTTTGACCTATTCAACGGTTTTAGGGTGTTTTTATTTTAATTATTGTTTTTTAATTTTTTTGTTAGAATGGGCCATCTATTCGAACTAGATGGTCAAACCATCGACCCAGAAACCGATGGCTAGAATGGTTTTGGTTCTAGGTCATTTTTTAAAACATTGGTTTTCGGTGTAAGGTTTACATCTAAAAATGTTTTAAAACATTAGTTCCAATGGTTCACTAATTTTAAACCCATAGATGTTGAACTCCATTGATGAAGTTTACACTAAAAACAAGCGTAGCCTTACCAAACTAAAGTCGGTTTTGATGAAGATCAAAAGTGAAAATTTGATCCCTTATTTGAATTTGATGAGGGATAATTTGGCCTGACCCAGTAGCATGGTGACACGTGGAGCAACCTGTCGATTAGGTGACATCTCAGCATTTCAAAACACCTCAGCAGGCTAGATCACCTTGGGCACCTTAGGTCACTCAACTAAGACCGATGACCAAACATCTCGTCATACCCCCGATCTGTTGAAATGCCACATAGCATCTTTCTAGAAGGGATCCAGCTGTCTCCAATATCTTCGAGATCATGTCGCACGTTAGTGGATCTTATATGTATCCCACTCGAATCGAATGGACCTGGCTGGATAAGCCTTATCCTCTTGCATAGGGTTCACCTTTGGGTGCAGAACTGACTCCGAATTTGGCGGGCCAGCAAGCTCGGAGGCGTATCGTAAGGCCTACGGAAGCTCACCTATATAAAGGTATCACTATCATCCTCATAAGGTACGTGCAGTTTAGCTCTCTCACTAGCATTCTAAGCTCTCAACTCTCTCAAAAATCTCCTACGCTAACTTAAACATCGGAGTGCCCACACTAGGTAAGGCACCCCAGGACCTCTAACCTATTTGTCTTGCAGTTCGACCCGGCCGCGTAGAGAACTAATGTTCGAGCTACCTTCTAGTAGGGAGCGACCAGATCGTGCTACATCAGAATTGGTGGCTTCAAATTTAGATGTGGGTTATGGTAGGAGAAGTTGTAGGAAATGGCAAGTCAGAGGATCTAATAGATGTCTCACGCTATGGACTTAGGTCAAATTCAATAGTTATCAAGTTGCCCGAAGTAGGGATGTCAATGGGTCGGGTTTGCCTCAACCCTAACCCGACCCTCCAGCACTCCAACCCGGCTAAAAAATACATGATTCCTAAACCCAACCTAACCATATAGGGACCCGATTCCGACTCGACTTGACCCATATAATTTCAATTGTATTTTTAAAAACATTTTGAAGACCTAAAATACATTAATTTAAGTAAGGAAATTGTTTTATTGATTCTAAGGTGTTATTTTTCTATTTAAAAAAGAAGAAAATCAAAATCAATATATAAATAAATTATAAACTTTAAGCCTATAAAGTTAGAAATAAAAAAAGTACAAGAATACTTGGTATGTATGCAAGGTATCATAACCCAACGGGACGGGTCAGCCAAAACCTAAACCCAATTTAGGTCAAAGGATCAAAACCCTAACCCGACCCTAAACCAAATATATTTGACCCTAACCCAACTCTATAAGATCGGATCAAGCCACATCTACCATTTAACCCAACCCATTAACATCCCTAGTCCGAAGTGGTAAAAAAGCCATGAATCAAAATGCAATAGCTGGTTTCAAGCTACCGCTTACCTTTATATAGAACTCTTGTCTCAGTTAGAGCATGGGGTGAAGGGCAAAAGGCAGTCGGCTCACGTCTCCAAGTGGTTGGTGGTAGAACATCCGTAATTCTTGGGAGACATTTAGGCCCTATTCGTTTTTTGGTAAATTATTTACCCGGGTAAATGTAGTTATCTGGGTAAGTTTTTCCTAGGAAACACTTACCTAGGTAAGTGCACCCTAAACCAAATATATTTGACCCTAACCCAACYCTATAAGATCGGATCAAGCCACATCTACCATTTAACCCAACCCATTAACATCCCTAGTCCGAAGTGGTAAAAAAGCCATGAATCAAAATGCAATAGCTGGTCTCAAGCTACAACCGCTTACCTTTATATAGAACTCCTGTCTTGGTTAGAGCATGGGGTGAAGGGCAAACAAGGCAGTCGGCTCACGTCTCCAAGTGATTGGTGGTAGAACGTCCGTAATTCTTGGGGGACATTTAGGCCCTATTCGTTTTTTGGTAAATTATTTACCCGGGTAAATGTAGTTATCTGGGTAAGTTTTTCTTAGGAAACACTTACCCAGGTAAGTGCATTTACCCATGTTCTTTTATTTCTCATGTAAATAAGGCAATGATTATTTTATCCATAAAAATTTATTATTAAAAGGGGCATTTTTGTCTCATTCAAGTGTTGGCAACTTTCGTCCTAGGTGGAAAAGTTATTTACTCACTTAGGAGATGGGGTATCACTTACCCGAGTAAGTGGTACCCAAGAAAATAAACTTTCCCTAAGGCTAGCAATTATCAATACACTTGGAATCAAGTTGTCGCTGGTGGTCCGAGCCAAGGATCAAAGTATCGGTATCGAGCATCGGATATGGATACGGATACGCTTTAGAAACATATGGATATGAACGAAAAATATAAAAACGTTTGAATACGCTAGTGAAATGCATACAAATCACATAAATACATTAATAATATTAAACTGAAAGCTGAATTATCTATGAATAAGATATAAAGACATGAGATGCATACTTCAATAGGTTATATGAAGAGAAATATTACAATAAACAATACCGGGACTAAGGTAGATAAAATAAATTATATTTAATTTTTAGTTTTTATTAAATCTTTTGGGAAAATTAAATATTAAATTATTCACTTCAGTTTTTATAATTATAATTTTCTGTTTTCCATTACTTTTGTTGGGAAATTTTATCTATTTGTTTAGTATTTTTTATATAATAACTATTTTTTCAAATAATAACTATGTTTTCATTTTTAACATATAATTATGTGTAAAATATATAAATCATCTAAGATAGATGAAATATATTAATTTTAAAATTTTTAGTTTTTATTAATTTTTTTAGAAAAATTAAATCTTAAATTATTTATTTCAGTTTTCATAATACTATTTTTTAACTTGTATTAAAGATGAAAAACAATCCAAAAGTATCGGACCGTATCAATGTGTATTAGACTGTATCCATAGATATGGTGCGATACGACCCGATGCAGAGGCATATCATACCAATACGCACAACTCGTAGGATACATATCCAGTCATAGCATATCATGTATCCATGATCGATCATGGATACAGATATGATACGCCCTGTATCAGGAGTATCGCATCAATACCTTAATCCTTGGTCCGAGCTGCTATTTAAGCACTTTAAGCACTATGTTGCCACATGTTGCGACGTAGTGCAATAAAACGTTCTTCATATCGCCACATGTCGAGATATGGTTGGAGGGTAAATCAACCCCATCAGGTTTGGTACATAAACCAAATCATCAAAACAGACCATTTTATATGGTTTGGGCTATTTTGTTAATCTTAACCCAATTAAAAATGTCCAATTTTTACTAGATGCCTTGGAATATTGCTAGTAGTTGTCGCCCCATGCACTGTGTAGGTGAAGCCCCTTCTCCTTTTTTAAGGGCCCATTTGGGAGGGCTGAAGTGTGGTGGCTTCTGGCTTTTCAAGGTTGATTCCATATGGAGAGAGCCTTTAAGTTATGTTTGGTAAAAATTCCTGAAAATCCAAATTAGTTTGTCAGTCATTCATTTGAAGGGTTATCTGCTTCTGCTTCAGTCTCTTTGAGAGTTTGAGTAGTTTATCTTGATTGCTTCAAAGCAGTTGGAACAACTTAGTAGAATATTCAGCTCATTCCTCCCAAACAGACCCTATGTATCAAAAATAAAAAATGAAAATGAAAAACAAATGCCTTCCAAAAAAGTGAATAATAGTGCTTGTGGAAAAATAATATTCCATATTCTTTTCCACAAGTTATTTAACAAAAGCTAGTTCTTCACATTCACATCTCAGGAATCTTTCAATAAGAAAATGATTCGTGTTCCTAATTTTTTTTTTAGTGTGTTGCTACTAATTTTAAAAACAAATCTAAATATGGTTGGAGAATGTACAAGCTTTGCAATATGTGAAACCAAGAGAATATTAAACTTAAAGAATATCATTTTCCTAAAATAGGAGTTCGGTTTCATAAAAAGATACTCCTAAAGGTTGTTGGAACAGTGTGAACATAAACTTGTACTGACGGAAGCTGTTCTCTGCGAATAAAAACATTTTACAAAAAGCAATAATGACATTGTCTAAACATGACATTGGCCAATCAAGTGGGCTACGCCACCAGACAACCATATCAACCAAATTATTTTTGCAATCTGAACAGCTGAGCACCACCATTGATATACCTAAAAATTTGAAGAATAAAGCCAGAATACTATCCAGACAAGACCAATGATTCAGGGAACGCATGATTTTAAATGAATCTGATTTTACAACAAAAACCTTCCATCCAACATTAGCTGTGAATTTCAAAGCCTGAAGAACTGCACCAAGCTCTGCATCAATGGCCTCACACATTACATCTAAGGCTGCCTTTGGAAATGATACAAATATGTAGAGTGTAAAATGGTTCATATAAATTGCAAAGTTGGGTTAGTTTTGCATTGACAAATTTATCTTCTTACCAAACATAT